CATAAGAAATAAACTAAGATTTATAAAACTTTTAAGGCTTTAGGTAGTTAATAAACGGATGGAAATCTATGATGAGCATATCCCTGCCTTAAAATGCAAGACTGTTGAAATAATAATATAAAAAATTATTTTAGACAAATTTTAAATTACTTCTAATACTTACATATCATGAAAACTTGGTTTCGAAGTTATTCTGTTCAATGCAAAAGTACTAGGGACGCTAACTAAAAATATTATTTATGCGCAGTCTTTCACATTCGTCCAACAGCACATTCCTTATGCTTGTACTGTATACGTCATAATTTGACAATCAGGTACAAACCATTTACCTACTTGTTATCTTCTTCTTAACAGCTGTCAAGTAGAAAGTGACGTCTTTGCCTCGTCCTCCACCGATGACGAACTTCTTTACCAGTTTGTAGAGTCGTTCGTGTTCGTCGAAGTGCTTTTCTGAATTGGCTATACATTTAGTAAGCTACGCAGTTTAGCATGATGCAATTCATGCACCACTCGGCTTACCCAATCCGTCAAAATTTGCCGACAGCAAGTACGTACTGGCAAGGTTGTACTTCACCGTGCAAAACCTTACCACGTCTTTCGCGGTACTGTTTTCTTTCAGCACAACTCTGAGAAAACGCGCATCTGGCATTTTCACGGATATTGCTATCTATGTGGCAAGGCTAATGCCGATGGCGACAAACTACAATCGCGCAGACGCACCTTTGATTCCTCTGTTGCTTTAGCCGCCATATCACTCCACGTTTGCTGCTGAAATGAACTGTGAAGTTTCCTTATAAGTTGTCTGCCAGATAATTAGAGAGGTCACCGCGTCGGTTGAGGGAAACCCAGTGCTGAACGTAGTAACTCCACATCAAAGCGTGCCGTGGCTCGCAGGTTTACCACCCGACTATTTCTGCGATAGAAAGCATAATGACACGCCTCCGGTGATCAAGGTTGATGTTCTATCTAAATTACATTGGAAAAAGAATTAATCAAAATGCTACATAGCACGCGACACAGCGCCAGGTTGCGATAAGACACAAATTGATTTTTTCTAAATGTTTCATTATTCAGGGAGCTCCTTTTCATGATCAATGAATTGCCACTTATTAATTTTGACGGAGCCTTACTCTTGCACAGACTACTTTGTAAATTAATCGATTAAGGAACTCCGTAATTTATCGATATCATCATCAATCACACAGCGTGAAGTGAATATCTTTGCGCTAATCACAAGATTACGTTAATACGTCTGCTATGGGTAGATTGTGTACCCTCTGACCGTTGACCCACTATTTCTTAGGCGATGAACTTGACGGCACAATGAAGAACGCAGATGTTCTTTGCAGTCGGTTTGAATGAAGCACCACTTTATCTGGCTGAATTGTTGAAACGGCATAGATCTTAAGTTGGTTGCATTGTGGTGGTGAAGAGGTCACGATGCTGAGGAGTCGTCTCTTAAAGCTTCTCACATTTTTGTGATCACACTCGGGAAAATTTCAAGCACAGCAGTATGCAAAGTCATCGTAAAATATTGGCAACTTCCTTCACCGAACAAAGGACAATGACAGATGTTCTGTCCTCTGTACATTGAACTTAACGAGCTTTATACGACTATTACAAATCTTTCAAGAGAACTGCAGCATCAGAGAACGCGCTTTCAAAAGACTAACACTTACAAACGAAGAGTAATTAAAAGTACTTCGTTTGAACTACTTTCTGCAAAACAGAAACTATTATCTGATGAAGACGGTACTGAAGGGTGGCACTCGTGAAGTAAAATTATGTGTCACCGCCGTTGTGCATGAGTTGGGAAGCTTCCGATCGTTGGTTGCTCCCAGTGCTAAGCTATGGGAAACCTGGATCTTAAGGTTGAAAGTTATTCATAAGTAGCAGACTAGGCGACACAGCATAAAAAGAAGTCGATTGATGCAAAACCTGCTTTCTGAAACAGAAGCTGTTATCGTATGACTCAGGCATTGGTGTATTGTAGGAAAAGACTTGAAAAGCTTAGGAGAATGAGGAAATGGAGGAACAAAATTCGGCTTATGCAAACGGCTGACGTTGTGACCACGGCAGTAATGACCAAATGATGCGCAAAGCGTGAAAAAATAACAAATGAAAACAATTGCAATGAGGCAACATGCATCGCTCACACTGCTCCTCATGAATAATTGACGATGGTAGTTGTTATGCTGACAACTGCAGCGATCAATGCGTGCTTCACTAGTGTCGATTGACAGTTTGCAAGTGGCCTGTTTCAACAACGATGTAACCCGCATACACTCGCCCAGACGGCCTTACAACTTTAACTTTTTCTTCTCAGCAAATTCTGCTGTTTTCCCTGACAAGAAAATAATTGTACGACAAAGAAATATCCTTACAACGACAGTTTTGGTCGTCTTTGGACGAATTATCGATTAAAAAACTCGTTTGCCTTTGAATGAGGATCTTTAGGAGGAGTTAAAGAAATATTATTATGTAAAAATCCGCTTGTTGCTGTTCAACCAAACTACAAGTCATCAACAGCAAACAAAAATGACTTTCCAGAAAACAACACTAAAGCATTTTGATTCAAGATTTTCAAGCCGCAGAAAATAAGCGATTACGACTTGTCCGTGCACTCATTCACTCGACTCAGTAGGTCAAACACAATATCAGTCATTCACTTAGTCCGTCAGGCAGGTGGGCAGCCAACCTGCCAATGGTCCAACCAGTCATCAAGTCAGTTTCGATGGCCACTTATCCTATCGGGTGTGCAGACACCATCAGCCAGTGTCTCATACGTTCTCGATCCATCCCCATTCCTCTGAGTTTCGGCAGAAGATAACTCGATTCTGGAGCAGGGAACTTCGAAGCACTTGCCCCAGGTCGTTCTTAACCGCCCCGGGGTTCTTGACCGTTCTGTCGAGC